TTTCACGATGAGTCCCAACTCCCAACTCCAACTTCCTAGGAGGCGACTGGGGTCCTGCCACCCAAGGGGAAGACCTGGAGCACATTCCAAGCTGCTGTTCAACATTTTCCCAGTCCTGGCCATTGGTGAGCACTTGTGGAGTCAACCAGCATATGGATATTGTCCCCATGTCACAGAATGAAAAGCCTAAGTTAACACCACTTTTTGCTACCTTTCTTATCTCTGAAAGGTATATTAACACTTTTTAAAAGCTTGGCTTTTCAAAAAAAATTCAGGAACTATTTACTCATTAATTACTGTATTTTTCCAAATGGATTACGTGCATTAAGAACCTGACCAAAGACCATGCTGTCAAATGATCAAACCATTTGACAAAAATCAAAATTTCTATTACTGCCACTGCCCTTAAGGAACTAAGAATAAAACGTCTAGAAGCTGTGCTATTAACTCATCTCGCCTGTCCACAGCACAGCACATCCCTGCCCCCTACCCTCACCACCCAGAACCCGAGGAACCTACACTGCTTCTACCATCTCAGCCAGAAAAAACTTTAAAAAGTTCAGTAAACCTTCTTTCTCTCCATGAAATCCCACTAAACTTGATACTCACCTCCTAACGTAAAATGTTTTAGACCATTAAAAGAAATTTAAAGGTAAATGTTTCATTTTTGGTTAAATCTTTAACAAAGACAAGTCAGTTAAAACGAATTTTCAGTAAGTACAAAGTAAAAACAAATATCAAATTTAAAGGAGTAACAAATAACAAAATTAGGACAATTCCGGGGAAGGAAGCATCAGAAGGCAATGAGGTTAAGAAAGTAATACAAAAGGGCCAGCACTGTAGCACAGCACGTTACACCACTGCCTGCAGCGCCAGCATCCCATATGGGTGCCAGTTCAAGTCCTGGCTGCTCCACTTCCAATCCAGCTCCCTGCTAATGTGCCTGGGACAGCAGCAAAAGATGGCCCAAGTCCTTGGGCCCCTGCACCCACTTGGAAGACCCAGAGGAAGCTCCTGGCTCCTAGCTACAAATCGGTCCAGCATTGGCCATTGCTGCTATTTAGGGAGTGAACCAGCGGATCAAAGAGCTCTACCTCTGCCTCTCAAATCTTTTAAAAAATAAATACAACAGAAAGTGGTACACCTTATCTGTAATGTTTAATTTCTTACACTGGATGGGGACCAATACCTATTTCTGGAGAGCTACAGTTGGTCATCACCTTGCAATACTGTTCTTTTAACTGTGGCATTCACTGTTTCATGTCATGGGAGAATATAAACTAAAAAAGAAAAAGAAATCCTTCCAAAACGAAATATTGGGGAGCAGCATTGTGGCACAGTGGGTTGGGTGGGCTGTCTGCTACCTATGATGCCAGCATCCCATATGAAAACCAGTTCAAGTCCCAGCTCCTCTACTTCCAATCCAGCTCTCTGCGAAGGCATCTGAGAAGATGACCCAAGTACATAGGCCTTTACCATCCACATAGGAGAACTGTATGGAGTTCCAGGCTCCTGGCTTCGGCCTGGTCCAGCTCTGACTATAGGAGCCATTTGGGGAGTGAACCAGCAGATGGAAGATCCCTCTCTCTGTCTTTCCTTCTAACTTTGCCTTGCAAATAAATCTTTAAAAAAATTTTAAACTGGTATTTTCCCTCCTGCTCCTAACAGTGACCCACAAGGCCTTTCTGCAGCACACCCATGGCACCAAAGGCAGCACTACAAAACACCAAGGAGACAGGCATTTACCAACTATAACCTTTTTTTTTTTTTTTGACAGGCAGAGTGAACAGTGAGAGAGAGAGAGAGAGACAGAGAGAAAGGTCTTCCTTTTCCATTGCTTCACCCGCCCAATGGCCACTGCGGCCAGCACACCGCGCTGATCCGAAGCCAGGAGCCAGGTGTTTCGTCCTGGTCTCCCATGCGGGTGCAGGGCCCAAGCACTTGGGCCATCCTCCACTGCACTCCTGGGCCACAGCAGAGAGCTGGAATGGAAGAGGGACAACTGGGACAGAATCAGGTGCCCCAACTGGGACTAGAACCCGGTGTGCCAGTGCTGCAGGCGGAGGATTAGCCAAGTGAGCCGCGGCGCTGGCCCCAACTATAACCTTGAATAAGCTTTCCCACGGGTAATTTTAAAATGGTGCTTATCTTTAATGGAGTTGAGTTCTTCAGCTATAATTAAGTAAATGGTAAATAATCATCAGCATATACACTATAATAGTAAACAGCCGCCTTCTTATTATCAACAAACTGTGAATGCTCCAATCTAAGGCCAACCCTTTAATTGTGTACTAAGTCTCAGTGACATTTCTCCAGCAACTGTGCCCCCTCCTGCCAACCCAGCAACTTCTCTTCAGGATCTGCTCCATCAGCACGTGAGTATGCTGACAGCAGTTGCCATTAAAAAGAAAAACAAAAGGAACGCTTTTCTTTAATCCACATACCACTGCAGCCATCGCATTCTTCTCCATTCCCCTTTTGAAACAAACTTCAACAGTTTACGACGTCCATAGGTACTGCTCCCATCCTAGTCTCCTGGCCACATCTCAGTCTCTTGCTAGTCTCTCTTCACAGCCCTAACCTTGAACATCTGAAGTAACACAGGGATGATTAATCCCCAGCTCACTCTCTTTTCTCTCTACAGAAGAGGCAGACAAGGCTTACACTAGCCAATCCTGGTCACTCATTTACATACTACCCAAGGCTGCTTTTGCACTAAACTGGCTGAGTGTTCCTCAACTTAATGATGGTATGAAAGCAGTAAGCGTGGCCAGCATTGTGGCATAGCAGGTTAATTCTCCACCAGCATCCCAAATGGGCAATGGTTCGAGTCCCAGCTGCTCCAATTCCAATCCAGCTCCCTGCTAACATGCGTGGGGAAGCAGTAGAAGTACTTGGGTCCCTGCACCCACTTGGGAGGTCCAGAAGTGTCTGGCTCCTGGCTTTGGATTGGCCCAGCTCCGGCCAATGCAGCCATTTGAGGAATGAACCAGTGGATGGAAGACCTTTCTCTTTGTCTCTCCCTCTCTCTACATCCTGTAACTCTGCCTCTCAAATAAAGTCTTAAAAAAAAAAAAAGACATTGTGGGGCAGGAGCCGTGGCTCACTTGGTTAATCCTCCGCCTGTGGCACCGGCATCCCATATAGGCGCCAGGTTCTAGTCCTGGCTGCTCCTCTTCCAGTCCAGCTCTCTGCTGTGGCCCAGGAGAGTGGCCTGAGTAGCTAACAAAACTCTCAACTCCTCTTTTCCATTTTACCTGCCTGAATCACAACCCTAGTCAGTTCTCTGCAGCATGGGTACCTGCACAGAGCAGGTGAACTTGACGGGGAGAACACACAAGCATACTCTCTCTGAAGTGAGCTCCTTGGGTTCCTCATCCCTCCAGGCTTTATTGCACAAATCCATTTACCTTGCCCTCCTCACCAGCTGTTTCTCGTCTTCTAAACCTGCCAAAACCTCATTCCTCGCTTGTAGTTCATTATCTTGCTTCTTAGATCTCCAGGAAGACAGAAGAAATCAGAAAGCAGTAACTACCTGTACCAGCCTTGCGACATGATTACAGTAACTGGGTAAGAGTAAGACCAGTCTGGCCACTTTGTTGCATTTGACTCTTAGAATCATCTACTTTTCTCAGGGATTTCTTTTCCTCTCAATTGGATCCCTTCCACTCCCTTCTAAACGTTTTCTACCAGCTACCACCTTTAAAAAAAACATTTTTGAACTGTAACTCCCACCACATATCAACACATGGCTCTGCGACCTTCTCTACTGAAATACTCATCTCCACTTTTACTCTGTCCGGCCCACACGATGTGCTTTGTTCCCACATTCCTGAACCTGCTGCAGATCTTCAGTATCTTCCATGTTCTCAGACCTGATTTCTGTTTCCAGGCTTCATCTCACTTCACTTGTGTGCAGCATTCGACACAACTGCTAACTTTCTTTGTGAAGCCCTTATGCTGCCTGCCAAGATCCCGTTCTCTCTCTCTCGGGCTTCTCTTCCTTCCTAAAGGGCTGTTTTTAGTGTCCTTGCTGGTTCTTCCTCATTTTCCAGCCTGTAAGTGCCAGAGTCCCAGGATCCAAGTCTCACAGCTTGCACTGTGTGTGTTCTTGTTCTCTCCCCAGGCAGGACCATTCAGGTCTCTGGCTGGGGGAAACCCACGCTGACTCCAGCCCACAACCAGGCCCCTGAACACTAGGTTCACACTTAACTGCCTACATGCAGCACTGCCTGGATGTCTAACAGGCATTACAAACGTAATGGATCCAAAACAAGTTTTCCTCAGGTCTTCCCTACCCCCATGAAAATGGCAGCTTTGTCCTTTTGAGGCTAACAACCCAGGAGCCATCTGACTGACATCTCCAATCAACTCCACCAGCAAATCCTGCTGGAATTACCTTGATAACGTCTCCAGAATCTGACTTCTCTTGACCATCACCTTCACCTTCACTCCTGACCAAGCTTCTGTCATCTTACACCTGGACCAAGGCAAAGGCTCCCGCTTCTACCCTTGCTTCTAAGTGGTCCGCTCCATCACACTGAGGTCACCGTGATCACTTTAAAAGGCAAATAATGCGTGTTACAGGGCCAGCATTGTAGCATAGCAGGTAGAGCTATTGACTGTGATATCAGCGTCCCATGTGGGCACTGATTCGTGTCCCAACTGGTGCTCCACTTCTGATCCAGCTCCCTGCTGGAGCTGATAAAGCAACAAAAGATGGTCCAAGTGTTTGGGCCCCTGCCACCCATGTGGGAGACCTGGATGAAGCTCCTGGCTCCTGGCTTCATCCTGGCCCTTGGCAGCCATCTGGAGATAGTCCCATCAAGTGGAAGATCTCTCTGTGACTTCCAAAATAAGTAAAAAATTTTAAAGTATCATTGCTATCTTAAAATCTACCAGGAGCTTCCCATCTCTTCCAGAATAAGAAGCAAAGTTCTAGTGATGGCCCATAAGGCTTTTTGTAAACTTCCCAAGCCTTGTTAGCTTTGACTCCTTACCTGGGACTTTTATTGGGTCATTCTTTTCCTTGTTTATCCAGTGTACCAAGCAATCCTCCTCCTTGGGATCTTTGCACTTCCATTCCTCTGTCTGCAATGCTCTTCCTGTTGGTAACAGCTTGGCTCCTATGGTTACCCAGGTATCTGTTGACATCTCACCTTGTCAGAAAGGTCTTTGTTGAGACTATCTAATGGCTCCCCACCACCTTTGCTCCCTCACCCTGCTGCATTTTTCTTATACCATTTACCACATAACATGTTACATAATTCATTTGTCTCCCACTGCAGTGGACACTCCATTCGACACCAGATAAATATTTGTTGAATGAGAGGACATTTGCTTATTAAAAGGAAAAGTAAAGTATTAGAGTTCTCAAGAGGAAAAGGCTTATGGTCTATTATACTTGCTTTATAAAAGACCAAAATCCAGTCCTGGGCCTCATAAATAGGAGGGGAAAAGCTGGGTTTATGTGTAAGCAACATATGGCATTGCAACATAATATCTGAAAACTTACATAAATTCGCATATGTACCCAATTGTAAGCAGGGTAGTGGATAGCTTATCTAATGAGAGGTACCAAGCTTGCAAGTGAGCACAAACCTGTATTTCAGCCAGTAGATTAACACATCTTCCTGGAGAGGGGAAGAGCCACATGTTTGCTGCAGGTGACCAAGATTCTAGTGTGATCTTACTGGGGGGAGAATCGGGCCTCCAGCTGTGAAAGGGACTTGATACCAAATTTTGCTGCAGTTGCCAAAGGGCCACAAAATAAGGATGCATTCTTGGAAATTTCCACCTACTTCTTTCTCATTTCTCTTTTTGTCTCCATCCTTACCTTCCTATCAAACGCAGCATAACATATTGATTAAAAACGTGGGTTTTAGTATCAGAATTGAGCTCTGGCTTCATTCTGACTCACCAGCAGTGTGACTTTGGGCAACGTGTTGCGTTCTCAGAGGCTGTTCCTCCTCCTGTCTGAACTTGACAGGATATAGCATTGCAGGTGAAAAAGAAGTGAAATTGGATAAGTAACAGTACTGAGAAAATACATGCCCCGCTGCTGGTGGTTACCATTCGTTCAGAAAAATTGTATTAAAGCACAATCATCAGGTCTTGGAAATAAAGCGTTAGACTAAGTCACTTGGTCTCTGCTTTTAGCGAGTTTATATTTTGACTAAACAATATTCATACATAACTTTGGGTTCACAGGTTTGTAGTGTGAAGTGTCCTAAGGAGAAAGACTAAGACAACGGCAACAAAAGTTCCCATTTAGAAAAGGGGACTAAAAACCTCCAGAACAGCACCCCCATCTGTGTATGGTGAACCCACATAGGCAGGGATAACGTAAATAACAGCAGATGCTGCGGGACTTACTGACTCATGTGTTGGCCGTAATGATCACAGTTGGGTTTACCACACTGGCCATTTTTTTTTTTTAACTTCTTCCAGGTGATACTAAAGATTCGCCAGGATTAAGAGCCAAGTTCTAGGGCCAGTGCCATGACTCACTTGGCTAATCCTCCACCTGCGGTGCTGGCACCCTGGGTTCTAGTCCCGGTTGGGGCACAGGGTACTAGTCCCGGTTGCTCCCTTCCAGTCCAGCTCTCTGCTGTGGCCCGGGAGGGCAGTGGAGGATGGCCCACATGTTTGGGTCCCTGCACCTGCATGGGAGACCGGGAGGAAGTACCCGGCTCCTGGCTCCAGATCGGCATAGCACCAGCCATAGCAGCCATTAGGGGAGTGAACCAACGGAAAGAAGACCTTTCTCTCTGTCTCTCTCTCTCACTGTCTATAACTCTCTCTCTCTCTCTCTCTCACTAACTCTGCCTGGCAAAAAAAAAAAAAAAAGCCAAGCTCTAAACCCTCTGCCTCTGGCAAAACTTCAGCCTGAATTAACCCAGCTGTTCACCATGTCAGGGTCTCTAAGCAGTTGCACGTGCTGTGGACTAGCAGATGGTAGATTGGACTGATCCTGTAACAGTCTCTGGTTCGTCACACTCAGATGGACCCTCAGCACCACCAGGCGATCTCCAAGTTTTTCAGACTTCTTTTCTCCCTAAGCCTATCTCCCTCACTTCTTGACCTTCACTCAGAAAATGTCACTTACCTCCTCCCAAACAAGTCCCAATGGAAATTTCTTTGCTGCTTTGATTTTATTAATTTACTTTGAGTATTTATTCATTTGAAAGGCAGAGCAACAGAGAGAGGGTGAAAACAATCTCTCCACTGTTCACTCCTCCTGTGACAGTCCGGGCTGGGTCAGGCCAAAGCCAGGAACCTAGAACTCCATCCGGGTCTCATGTGAGTGGTAGGGGTCCAGGCACTTTCCCAGGTGCGTTAACAGGGCGCTGGATCCGAAGTGGAACCCCCAGGACTTGAACTTGTAATATAGGCTACTTGCTGCACCACAATGCTGGCCCCTTTCTTCTTGCTTTTGAACTATACAGATTATCTATACTCACCCATCTGTTTACTCAGCCAACATTTATTGTGCACCCACTGTGTGCTGGGTATATGTCCTTGAACAATACAAACAGGACTCTGCCTTCCTGGAGCTTATATTCCAGTGGGAAAAGTCAGTCCTAAAATAACTAATTTAGACAGGAGCGTGTGCTACAGGCAACAGCGGAGTGGAGGAAAGGTGGGATTGAGGGGTAATATTTTAAATAGAGTACTCATTGAACAGGTGCAGTTGAGTGAACACATGAAGGGGGAACGCTGGAAACCTTCGTGGATGGCTGCAGAGAGAGCGCCTGGTGAAGGTGCTGTAGCAGGAATGAGCTTCCTGTCTGCAGGACAATCAGGGAAGTTCTGTGCTTGGTGGGTCATAACCGAGGGGGCAGTGCTAGGAAAGGAGGTCAGGAAGACCCGACTGTAAAGGATCTTGCCGAGGTGGGAGCCTGTCTTCTGCCGAGGGCCTTTTGGATATTTATAGCATCATTCACAGGCCATACAAAATATCACATTAAAAATTAGCCTTCCTGGTCAACCAAATGCTGCTACAGGGATATACTCGGCTCCCCACCCAGGAGACAATGGCTTGAGACATCTCCCATGCCAGCAGAGAGTACCTGTTGCCCCGTGTCAGCAGGAGGTAGCTCTAAAGACAGATCATTGTGCCTGCATCCCATATGGGCGCCGGTTCTAGTCCCGGCGTCTCCACTTTCAGTCCTGCTCTCTGCTATAGCGTGGGAGGCAGTAGAAGATGGCCTAAGTCCTTGGGCCTCTGCACCCACATGGGAGACCTAGGGGAGGCTCCTGGCTTCGGATTGGTGCAGACTCCAGCCATTGCTGCCAATTGGGGGAGTGAACCAGCAGATGGAGAGAACCTCTCTCTCTCTCTTTCTGTAACTGTCTTTCAAATAAATAAAAATAAATCTTAAAAAAAAAAAAGAACAGTCTGCATGGTCAGAAAGGAACAGCGAGCCAGTACAGACGCTCCAGCATTGGCTTAAGGTTGCTGTTTCAAGGCAGGAGTTGGGCTCCTGTCTACGGACAAGTTGTGTCAGCTGTGCTTGCCTTGTGCCCCTTCAGTTGCCTTCTGGTACCACTTCTCCCCTTCTTTGTATATGCATGGCTCTCCTTTCCTTTGGCTCATTTCCATTAGATCTCACATGTTGAATCCTGTGTTTAAAAAACCCTTCCTTGGGGCCAGTTCAAGTCCCGGCTGCTCCACTTCCCATCCAGCTCTCTGCTATGGCCTGGAAAGGCAGTAGGAGATGGCCCAAATGCTTGGGCCCCTGCACCCACATGGGAGACCCAAAAGAAGCTTCCTGGCTCCTGGCTTAGGTTCAGCTCAGCTCTGGCCATTGCGGCCATTGGGGTGACCAGTAGATGGAAGACCTCTCTCTTTCTCTGCCTCTGCCTTTCTCTAATTCTGCCTTTTGAATAAATAAAATAAATCTTTAAAAAAAAAAACTTTCCTATTGCCCCCAGCCAGTTACTACTCTTTTACCTTCCTTCCTTCTGCCAGACTTCCACCAAGTCTTGTCCGGTTTAATTCTGCACTCCTCTGTTCATAGTTGAAGTCCCTGCAGTGGACATCTGCCCCGTAGCTACGAAACCAGATTTCCCAAGGCAGCAGCTCTTCAAGAGGCAGTGCTGAGTCTTCAGGAGCCATTTGGGAATGTGTGGCGGTATTTATTGGTTATCACTTTGTCGCTCCCCCTCTTCGTGGAGGAGCAACACAGGACCCTGCGCTGTTCTTTCGTCTGCTCGGCCCTCCCGGGTTTGCTGCTGGTTCTTCCCGGGTTGGCTACTATCCCTTCCACCTCCGTGGAAGGGCAGTTCCCCCTGGGCACGCATTCCCCACTTCCGCAGGGGAGCGGCACACCGCCGGCGGCTCTTTCTCGGGGCGTGCACAGGTGTTCCTTCAGGCGTAGATGTTCCCCATAGATGCTTCCTGGTGCAGGCACGTCTCCTCTCTCCTTATAGTCCTTCTCTGCAATCCCAACTCGGCTGCCACACACGCCGAGTACGCATGCGTCTCCAATCGGAGCAAGTCCTACAAGTTTAATTGGTTGAAACTGGAGGCAGCTGTGCGGAAGCTGTTTACTTCTCTCCCAGCGCATATTTTGGAGAAGCAGATGCCTAGAATAAGGTCCTAATTCGAGTAACTTAGGTCTAGTCCGGATGCTCCCCCCAGATCCCCCTTTCGTTTTATTTTTTAGCGTTGATACGCGCTGTCTTCGGTGTCCCGGGCACCACTAGAGTTGCCACAGGCTCTTACAAGTCCTATCCATCAGGCAAACCGAATCCGGTTCCTCTCTTCGCCATGTTGTGAGGAGGTTTTTAGGCGCTGATGCGTGCCCTGTGTTCGGTGCCCTGCAGCGCATACTCTGCTCTGCTAGAACTGCCTGCAGGGGTTTACAAAACCTATCAGGCAAACCGAATCCAAGCCTTCTCATTGCCGTATTGTGGGGGAGACTTATTAGTGTTGGTTCGTGCCTATCTTCGGTGACCTGCAGCTCATACTCTGGTCGAGCTTTGCTGGCGCTTACCGCCTTAAATCAGGCAGACCGAATCCAAGCCTCCTAATTGTTGCATTGTGGGGAAGCTTTACTGATGTTAATTCGTGCCTGTCTCGGTGACCTGCGGCTAGCCGCCCAGGTGCTCACCGCCTCACTAATCGGGCAGACCGAATCCAAGCCTTC